CCGCCTTTAGCTTTTCCGCGGCTGCAGGATTTGCCATCGTTGCCATCCAGAAGTGGCTCATTTGGAACTGCCTAAGGGACAGCACCTCACTCAGATCAATCACATCTTTCAGACCGTCGCGAAAGTCCATCGCACGGTAAGGACAACCAGTGAGGTCAGCATGAAGAAACACAAAGTTAAGGCACAAAGCCGCCGGTGGAAATCATGGAAGCAGAATTCGGTACTCATCTTGGCTTACCGCCTGAGCCTGGGCATTTCCTGGGCCTACGGGTGTCGTCACAGTGTTCTCCGGGTGCATCATTCGAAGATCGTTATTGCCATTTAAACCTGAAGTACTAGGGTTTCCTCGGCCTAAGGCCGACTGATGATTTTTCTTGGAGATCATGAAAGCACGTCCGTTCGAAACGGCGTCTTCTCCTTTCTCCCCTCGGCCACGCGATCCCCCCGGTACATTCAAATCTTCGAAAAGGTCATTCTGAACAAGTCGCGCCAAGATCACCATTGAGCATGATTGTACTGAAAGCATTCCTCGCCAATTTAAGTGTCGTTGGCATTGCGCATGCAATCAATTTCTTAATCATGCATAACTACACAGATCTCTTACAATCGTATTTATTGTTCATGCCTATTTCGGGAAAGAAAAAAATATTTTTCAATGTCCCCAAGCACCGACACTGCACGTTGTGGCGGTGCGAAGATATGTGCGCTTGTTTCGCCGTCGTGGGAATAACAAAATCTCGGTATTGAAGAAATGTCTTCTTAAATAATACTGTCACCGGAAATTTGGGTTGAGTCACCAAGGATGAAGAGGTGAAGGAAAAGCTGCTTATTCCAATAAACAATATGGGGACCCTACGGAGAGCTTGGCGCTACTTTTCCAGGATCCAGTGAATTCACCCGCAACCAAAGTTAACAATTTATAAAGCACGCTTTATCACTGTTGAGGGTAACGACCCACAAGCAACGATATTACCGGTAACGCGTTACTTTTTCCAATAGTGCTGTAACGTAACGCTGTAACGTAATCGTTACATTTTCAAAACGGTAACAGGTAACGTAATTACTTTACTTATTTTTTTAACGTGTAACCCAGTTACGTCGTGACAGTCTTCTCAATACTTCAAAAAGTACGCTTAAAATTGTTTTTTTTTTCTTTAGGCGCCATGCGACATGCACATTTCAGTTTATTGGGTTTTTCTGTGCGTTCTTTCTTGCATTCAGATGGAACCGTAAAGGTAGCGTAATTATGTTCGGTTTCTGGATAAACATAATGTTTCTTGAAGTATGGCGCCTATGCACACCCGTAAAGTCAAAAGAACAAAACGTGCTAATCGATAATTAAGAAGTAACCCAAGTTTAATGCGTTACTTTTTAACGGTAACGGTAACGCATTCCTGTTATTTGTAAGTAACGAGTGACGCAGTTCGATGCGTTTTTTCCGTAACACATAGAACACTGAGCATAATACACGCACAGCAGATACTGTGCTCCCCAGGGCTTATCAAGATCATCGAAGTATTTTTTTCATCGACTGACCAGCATCTGCGATGACGGAGAAGTGACATTTCTTGTTATTCCAAACTGTTATATCTTAAATTAATTGTGTAATCCACACTGCGGTCATTTTATAATCCTTACTTACAATACAGAATCTGTCCTCTATTGATTTTGACTCTCGATGTCCAGGAAACTATCCAATGCCGAACGCAAGTTCGTCTGCTTCATGCGCAGGGGTAGCGACAGTGTTAGAATGGCCGAGCTTTTATTGACGAATTGGAAACAAAAAAGAAAAGTGGGTAGACATCAAGACATCTAGCACTGAGGTCTACCCACTATCCTTTCAATCAAAGCCAATCAGAGCTCGGTGTCATTCTAGCGTCACCACAAGTCCGGTGCAAGAAGTAGACGACTTGCTCGCCGCATACACTCTAAAAAAAGCTCGTGCGTCTGCTTTCCCGCACAACACTCGGAGAGCCAATCACCGCAGCTTACGGAGGTAGCTCAGCGAATGACGATGCCGAAACATATGCTTAGACCAAAAAACGCCGATTGAGTTGTGACATAAAGCAATGCAAGAGTGACGTTTTGCATTGCTTAATGTCACAACTCGGACTGCGTTTTTTGGTCTAAACATATATTTCGGCAGTGTCATTCGCTGAGCTGCAGCCGTAAGTTGCGGTGATTGGCTTTCCGAGTATTGTGCGTGAAAACAGACGCACAAACCTTCTTTTAGAGTGTAGCGTCGCACTGGCCACAAATATGCGACGTCAGTGCTTGGCTGCTCTTGCCATATTTTTTCTACCATTGGATGCACACGAAGGAGAATATCTCTCAAAAAGATCCGTTTAGATAACCCAGATTGAAAAGTTGTTTCCGCATACAATGCAAACGATACCCAGATTTTGTGAGGGACGATTACGTGATCTAGGCGCGACTGGTTCAGAAAGACCCCCTCGAAGCTTCAAAGTATTTAATGGGCCAAAATAACGATTGTCATGGCAACGAATGTTGCTCATCCAATAGCTTTGCAATGTTTTGGTTATCTGTATGTTAGCATATGCTTGTGTCCTGTACGGTGCCTGGATGCGTATTTGACTGCGGTGTGTTCATCGTGCCATTCCGCCCATGCATTGAAAGTAGCCCCGAAGTGGCTAATAACGTCCGACAGGGTACGTTCTAGGCTGTATAAACATAGACACAATCAAATTTTTTTATTTAACAGTAATACGAATCACAAAGAGACGAAGTAGTTTTATTGCGAACTAAATTGACTCAAACGCATCACTTAATGAACGAATATACTTTTCGTATGGTAATACTTCGTGCGCAAAAATTGAGTTATTAAAAAAATGTAGTTATATAAGGGAGATGGCAGCAGACTGTTCCGCAGACGTTGCAGCTTGGTGTTTTCGAGAACGGACATTTCAGCTCCTGTGTAAAGGCAAAACGCTGATGAGTTCTTAAGCCTCCGGGTTTGCAAGTACAAGGGCAAAATAGTATGAAGGCATTACGAGCCAAAGAGTTTGTTTTGAATAAAAAAATAACTTGCGATTAATAAACAAATTTTTGTGGGTTGGTAGTATCGAGCATGCGCGTTCGTATTTTGGGAAACTCTGTCATTTTCAACGTAAAACTGGCTGCTCATTATCAGTAAAGAGGCTAATATTTTTGTGAGGCTGCGTCGATCGGATAAACGCTCACTTTTTTAAATGGTGGCAAGTTCAGGTTCGAGTTTGATATATCTTGTTACGTATATATTTTTTCCATAAGAGGCTCATGGCGATATACACAGTGAGCACTGAAAATTGCTTAAAATTTGTGACTCATACTAAAACAAATTGTAAATAACAAGTTTTGTTTTGGATAATGACACTGTAAGCAACAAAGTATAGGCCTCATCCTTATCATTTTGGGTTTCAGTCTTTGAACAATTTGTTACCGGTGTCAAAGGGCCACTGACAACCCCGAAATCCCTAATTCCTAATATTTTCAAGCGCTGCAAAAGCGTCTGATATAACTTCCTCTAACATGTAATCGCGAAACGAAATTCCAGTGTGTGAAAGAGCTTGTCGAGGACCCGACGCCTCCCTCTCCCACAAGCCGGGCTCCTACTCGCTCCTTTCTTTTTGCCATCACGTAATCGGAGTAAGCATTATTTCAATGTTTAGAGGTCTTGCAAGTTGCACGACTGTAACAATTAGTATTGACATCCATCGAATACGACATATATGGCGTCTGAAAACGTCGCTGACTTCGATATATAAAAGCACAAAACCCAGAAGAGTCAGTGACGAAGAGTCGGCCGTCCCCTTTTTTCTTGCAAGTCTGGTTCTCACATTTGAGTTAATGTGTGGCCAACACCCCTTGCGCTCCACTCCAACGCAATGCGGGGACCTCAGCTGACATTGTAATCCTGTTGTCGTAAGTAATCTTATTCGTTAACAATGTCGCTCGAATTCAAACATTGCTGGGCTGAGAAACACCAACAGCTATTCCGGAATACAAATACTGTGATACATGTATTTTAAGGTCAAAGGAGAAATAAAAAAAACAAAAACAAAAAAAAACATTTGAGTTTTACGTGACGGTATATCCCTGAAATAGATTTGTAAAGACGACCAAAAATTATCCCGGAATATACACACAGAGACGCATTTTTCCCCCAGCGGTGGTAGGTGCGGATGGGTGCAGTTCAGGTGGCGAATGCAAATGGCACGTTTTCATACCTCAAAACTCACGATATATTCGCAACAACCACTCACAATACCGTCAAAGAAAACATTATCGCTTTAAATATGTCCCGTAAACACAAGAAGAGAAGACTGTTTGCTTTGCTTGACAAAAGAAGTATACTCGAAATTAACCATGTGTTTTTTTTAGCGCGGCTCTCCTGAGCTAGAAAAAAAACCAATATCAATTTTCTGGGGGTATGTCCCATGCTGTCATCTAACGTGCTTCACAAGTTCTTTACAGCCCAGGATTGGTTGTTTCAACCTTGCCACTCGTATCCTTTCGAGCGATCACTCCGCTAAACTGAAAGGGGTGAAGGACCTTACGGGAGGTGCTTATCCTGCTTTTTCTTCAAGTGACCTTTCGTCAAACTACTTGTTTGTTTGCTTTTTTTCATTAGCTATAGTGACTGTTTGCATATTCAGGCTGCACCCAGGATTCCGCTTGTAGAGGAGGAGGTGGGTTCATATAAAGTTTTCTGTCCCTAAGCCGAGAACGGAATTTTCAGTTTCTCGTAAAAACCCGATAAATAATTTTTGATCAGAAACGTAAAAAGATAGCTAAGCCCGAATGACTATCGCGATAGAAGCGATACATCGTAAATATTTCTCTACGGAGAACCAAATACATATTTTTTCATGTCTCGATAGAGATATACAGATACTCGAACGTGTCTGACACTATCGCCATACTGCCTAGCCCTGCATTCAAGAGCAAACGTCCGCACCAGTCTTCAGCGTGTCAAGTCGTTCGAGCCATTTACCCAACAGATGGCTGCCGTCGCTTGTGCCGCCAGCCCGGCCAGGTGGTCCGGAGGATTCCCCGTTGTCTGGGGTAAGAGCGGCGGTTCATCCTGCCCCAGTAAGAAAGGACGTCCTGCAGCGTGTCGGGCAGCCTGCCCTTCTGCGAGTCCGGTAGCTGCAGCGCCAGGAAGGCCCCCGTGACGCACATCACCGACACCAGAACCAGGGGAACCCGCGCCTGGTCCAGGAAGCCCTGGAGGTATGCGCTTTGGATAAGCGGAAAGTTTCATCTAGTGGGCCTTGATTTCAGAGCTTTCCCTACTGCTCGATCGGGCTCACCAGGTGGATGGGCCGCGTTTGCAGTACGAGCTCTCCGCCCGCTTTGCTCTTCGGCACGCGAGAACGCAACGTACGTGCAGTTGCGACGAATATACGCAGGAGGGGTCCGCCTTTAAATCAGAAATAGTCACTGTGGTTTCAGTTGCTTCCCCTCTCAGGTCTAGGGTCTCTGTGTTGTTCCACTGACTACAGCGCCTAACTGTGAAGGCGCGCACGAGCCCATGGATATGGAGAGCCTTCACAAAGAAGTGTAAAAAACGGGTGACATAAACTGGTGTTTTACTAGCTGATGCTGACCGGAACAACGGCGTATTTTGTGCAATATCAGAGAACAAACTTTAACACCTCGAAAAAGCGTCGCGCATCTTGAACCGGGGCACTGTATTCCTCTACCGTCAATAGGAAACCGTATAGCCCAGCTCTTCTTTTTGATAGCCTTGAATTGCGGCTGCAATTTGCCTGACAAGGACCCTATCACGTTTTCGTCACTTGAGAGTCTTACTCAATCACTTAGTAAATAATTCAACCCGTCCTTTTTATATTTTTTTTTACAAGGCGCGGCCATAGCAAATATTACTCTAACGCGACACGTTTATACTTTGTTCGAGAGTCTACATTTGTTTTTTCTAACTCGACCTTCCCTTGGATTTTAGGACGTTTCTTTAAAGTTTTAATTCAGTTCCCACGTTTTTCTTTTTTTTTCTTGTGGATTGTGCTCAATAAAGGCATAATTTGCTCACCGTGTTGGCCACAAGCTGCGTGGCGATGTTCCCCATGGCCGAGAAGCAGAAGCAGAACGCGACGCCCGTGCAGCGAAACAAAGTCGGGTACACCTCGGCCGTGTACACGATGATCAGGCACTCGGACGCTCGCACGCTCACCTTCACCGCAATCACCACTGCCAGCCGGGGAATGACTTGGTCTAGAGAAAAAGGTTACGCAACATCTACATGCGCATTCTGCTACGCCTACAGGCGAACTATAGCATAAACGAAATGAATTGAACGCATTTTAAACTGACCGCATAAATCGGGTTCTTAACTTATCGGTGCCTGAAGAGGTGTCGAAAGTTAGTGGAAGCTTTTGCTAAAATAGTGGAAATATCAGCTCACCTGATTAAATAAAAAAAAATATAACTGTTTACCCTATCCTTTGCGTGCACACTAAAGAGTATTAAGCGTTACTCTGGCGCCTATTTCGGCTAAATGATGAGAAGAATAGGCAATCCATTTCTATTTTCTTTCCGTTTCACAAATTTTTTAATCGTAGGAAACGCCAGAAGAGTTCAGAATGATTTTCTGATGAGTTTGAGATAAAAGGCTTAGCGATAAAATTTCCATAAACAGACAGTTTCTTTTTTTCCTCCGGAAGTTTTTTAAATTCAGATTCTCAATTAATGAATGCACAAGGTTCGAGCACCTCTGTAGTAAATCACAGCACAATAAGTAACCGATTTATGCGGTCAGCGTAAAGCGCGTTTCATCCATTTCGCCCAAACTAGATTCTTCGAGCGAAATAAACAAAAAGAAACGCAATGCGAAACGAGGTTGTACAAAACATATCTCATACCGCAACCGAAGCTACGATCAGAAGGAGCCAATCAAAGAAGCGCCAAAAAAGTGCATGTTCACAGCACTTGTCATTTACATGCGAAAGCATTTTAATACGAACGCATTAACTGCCCTATAGAACGAAGCCGGCGAAGTCAGTAGCCGTTGTCTGTAGCAGCGAAAACGGCACCTAAATTCCCATTTTCTGCGAAGCCAAAGCAGATGCTTCATCACGGAAACCGGCGGGGGCGCTCAAGTTCAAGGCGAACGCGCCTAAGAAATAAAACAAACGGAAAAGCACAGCAACGCAGATGCATCGTCACGGAAGCCGTGGAGCCAGCGGGGGCGCCGCTCCTGCGCAGCGGGGGACCGTGATGTCAACGCCTGAGTGCCGTGGGAAAAAGCCTAACGAAGAGGGCGCGCTGCTGTAAGGAATGCGCTGCGTGTACGAATGCTTTTGAATTCCTACACGTGAGCAGTTTAAGTATCTTCGGCGAATTTTTTGTGCCTCTCCTGTCACCAGGGGAACCAATCAATCACAATAAATGCGTGGGATACGGCGCTTTCTCTCTGTAACGTGACTGGTTTAAGTCGTTGATAGCAGACGCAAAAATACAACGGACGTGGTTACGATGCACAATTCTGGCGCTGCCTGATCGGCCGTATGGGGTCGGGTTGGATAATGTCGGCGGCGGTCGGATTTAAAGTGAAACGTAGCTTATAAAGTCTCGAGGAAAAAAGCAGTCACTGATAAGACAGCTCACGCACACTTGTCATGGTAAATTTTCTTTCCCTTTTTTCTGAGAAAGGAGTTACATTGAATTCTGTATACATTTACAGAAAACAGCATATCTATGTAACTGTCTTATTTCCCATTTCCCTGTCGCCATGAGAAAAACACTGGAATGTGTCCCTGCATTGTTTTAAATCAGTGTTTTTTTGTTTACTTTTCATTAATATGTCTTTACGTGAATGTATTTACTTTTTTTGAGAAATAAAGTAAAGTTACAAAAATAATGTTTTATCTGCTACGCTGTGTACAAAAACCGAGCTCCGAATATGGTATAAATAGTCCTTTACGTGCACACTAGAAATTCTACATCTACGGTCTTTATTTATATAAATAAATAAACAGTCCCGTAATAAGTTAATTTTATGACAAACCTCTTCCCCTTAATTGAAGAAGAGGTTTACCGAAAAAGGTGTTACCGGTAACGCGTTACTATTTTCAGTAACGTGGCAACGATCTCGTTACCTATTCGAAACAGTAACGTGTAACGGATTTACGTTACTTATTTCAGGTAAAGGGTAACGTAGTTCCGTTACTCGTTACATCTTCAGAAAACCAGAAAAAAGTACACTTAATTTTTTTTTGTGTTTCGATACTTTTTTTTACCTTAAGTTCAGACGCATCGGAAGCTACGAGCTGGTGGATCACTCAGACACTCAAAAGGGCACTACCATGGTGTTCGCCCTGTTTGTGTACGTGTTCTATCATCGCTGAACCAATGATAAACGTAAAAGGCCCAGTGACTCGCGCTTTTGACACTGCTTGGTTGGGCTCATTCGCTCGTAGCGTCGGCTGCGTCTAAACTTAAGCTGAAAGAGAGTATTGGCGCCAAGTCATTAATTATTGCACTTATTGCACATACTTTCAAGATGTCGTCTCCTCTCCCCCACACGAAAAATCCCACTCTAGAAGAACCCCTAAGCCTACGCCCTTTGTCCCCGCGTCAATAAATGCTGTCGCTACAGGAACCCCGCTGTTGCTTTCATTTTTTAAAGGCAAAAGTACCGTGCGTTACTTTTAATCGCTAAAAATAACGGTAACGCGTTCTTTTTACTTTGAGGTAACGTACGTCGGTAACGCGTTCGTTTATTTTGCAAGTAACGAGTAACGTATTTCCTTACTTCTTTCGGGTAACGCCTACAACACTCTTGTTAATGTATCAATTTGTTTTGTATGTAAAGATAGGTTAAACTTAAATCATATACGATATATGATATATGCGATAAATATACAGTTATAAAATATGATATAAAATTAGTAAAGGTTATAAAGTCTGTTCTAGAAGCTCTTCGAGCGCACGGACTGCAACTACAGCTGTGGAAGACGAAGAATAAAAGGCGATGGATTGCTTGTGCCCTCGACCTGGCTGGTCTTGCTTTGTCGTCCGCTCGCCGGGACACTAAATACCCAACACAACATGGTGGCAACGTAACTACCCCACCCCACCACCTCACCTCACGTCGTTCAAGCTTCCTAAAAAGGTGACGAAACAAAAGAGCAAGTTACTACAGACTAATAATCCACGCTGAGCCATCTCAACGTCCCGACCGTTCGAAACTACATGACCACTCCAATGCTAGTCTGCCAGCCACCGGAAGAGCTTGACTTCTCAAAGTCAAAAGACTGACCCATGTGGATCAGGCGAAAGATTTTGGATGGTCAGCGGACTCCGAAAAAAAAAGCAAGCGTCGAACAGGTAAATGCTTTAATTCATTGCATGGGAGACAAAGCAGAAGACATCCTTCTTTCCTTCAGCTCAAGCTCCGACCAAATGACCGATTACAAAGCAGTACACAAATCCTTCGACAATCATTTCATAGGTTGACGAAACCTGATTTCCAAGAGATAAAAATTAAACACAAAAATTCAGGAAGACCGAGCCCGTCTAACACTTCTCGACCGATCTTCATACCTTGGCTCAGCACTGCAAGTTCCGAACTCTACACGACGATATAATTAGAGATCCTATTATTGTAAGAGTCAGAGACCGAAAACTATTTATAAAATGCAGTTAGACGCTAACTTAACCTTGGAAACTGCGACGACTATGGCTCGCCAGTCAGAATCCAAAAAACAACAAACTGACCTTCGACCGGAATCTTACAACGTTAGTCGAGTCAGGGCATCACCTGCACCAGAAGCCAATTTTTCGCAAAAAAGACCACCTACACAAAGCACCAGAGATTTCGACCACTGCTGCCACTGCCTTAGATAGTCGACACGCGCGCAAAAAATGTCCAGCGAGCGTTGCAATATGTCACACCTGCGGGAAAAAAAGGACACTCCGAGCAATTTCTTTAGGCTGCAAATATGTCTAAGAACTTATGGCCGAAAAGGAAGACCCCCCTTTTTTTCGGGGGGAAGGGGGGGGGGGGGAGGGGGGGCGAAGACTGTGGGTGCCAGAGGTACTGACCCCCAATCTGTTACTGTGGAGCTCCAAGAAGTCCCCCTGTCATTTAAGATTGAAAGGAGATGACGTCCCGGTCATCCCTGAAACCGTGTGCATTCAACATTTTGAACAA